GACCTGTTTGTGACGGTGGTGTATTGAGGTCCCCCCTTACAATTGTATTAATTTGTATTTGATTTTTCATGTCTGTTAATATTTGTTTTATATAGTTGGTTGCACTGCTATTCAGTGCATATATATTTATGATTGTCATCTCTTCCTCTTGGATTGTTCTCTTTATAAAGATGTAGTGACCTTCTTTGTTTCTCGTAATCTTGGCTTGAAATCCACTTTGCCGGCAAATAGAATAGCTACCCCTGCTTTTATTCTGTGTTTCTGTTGCATGAAGTATTGTTTTCCATCCTTTGATTTTCAGTTGATAAATTTCTTTTTTAATTATATGTGTTTCTTATATGCAGCATGTTATTTGATCTTGCTTCTTGACCCATTTTGCCAGTTTATTTCTTGTTTATTCCCTTCTTCAATCTATTTCTTTTGTTTGGTAAATCGAGACCATTAACATTGATGGCTGTAACTGATATGTATTGACTTATTCCTATTATGTTACTTTCCTGCTGTTGGCTCCCTTCTTTCCTTTTCTGTTTAATTTCTTGCTTTGCTTGGTGGATTCATTTTGTTGGGGGTCATGCAGTTGTAATCCTTGTTATCTCTAAAGTATCCTTCAGAACACTTTGGAGTGCTTGCTTGGTGGTCATAAATTTCTTCAGGTGTTCTTTGTCAAGGAATTATCTCATTTCTCCATCAATTTTGAAAGATATTTTTGTTGGGTACATTAATCTGGATTAAAAGTTTTTTTTTTTTTTTTTTTTTTCTTCTGGTACTGGGGATCAAACTCAGGACCTTGCAGGCATAGTGCCACTGGGCTAAATTCCTGGCCTGTAAGTTGTTTTCTTTAGGACTTTCACTTTAAGATTCGTGTAGAGATGCCAGCTCTAATTCTATTTGCCTTTATATGTGATTCATTGCCTTTCTCTAACAGCTTTTATGATTTTTGCCTCTGTTTTGGACTTCTGATACTTTTGAGTATAGTGTGATGCATAGAGATTCTCTTTTGGTCATTCCTACTTGGGTCCCCACCTCCCCCCACTGGGGATTGAACTCAGGATGTTGCAGTTGCCAGGCAGGTGCAGCGCCACTGAACTACATCCCCCAGCCCATCCTATTTGGGTTTATATATGCCTCAGTTATGTGTATGTTTCTTTCTGTCCTGATATAGTATTTGGCAACTTTTCTGCCATTATTTCCATGAACAGATTTTTTTTTATACCATTTGTGTTGTCTTCTGATTTTTCACTTTTTCCGATTATTCTTTGGTTAGTCTTTGCATCAACTAGCAGTTATTGAATCCGTGTTTTATGTTCTCTTGTTTTTAAGGTGTTTTTGAGTAATTTGTCTTAGAAGGCATTATTGTCTTCTTGTTCTAAAATTGAGCCTTCATATTGGTCTGTTCCACTGACCATACTTTCAATAGGTATGATTTTTGATCTCCTGGATTTCTGATTGAAACCTTTTTCTCTGGTCATTCATGTTTTATATCATTTTGTTTAGCTCATCTAGCTTGTTACTAGCATTTTCTGAAAGTTTCTACATCTTTTTGGTTATTCCATTTCCTGCTTACTTATATCTTCTCTAATTTTGCTGAGCACCTATTTGAGCTGCTTTATGCTTTCATTATGACTTGTATGTACCTATCTCCCTAAAGCCTCATGTGGTCATATGTGGGGAGTTTCAAGGGTGGCTCCATTAGGGTGTGTGAATGTGGATTAAGGGTGTGATACTGGGATTAAGGGTATGAATGAATAATGGAAGCCCACCCTGGGTATGGGTGGCACCCCAATTAATAGGTTTGTATCCTGGATGGAGTATAAAAGGACAGAAAGAAAGCAGGCCTGTTGCTGCTTGTTGCTTTGCTGCCTCCTACCTGCTTGTCCTGGGCTATTTCTCCTCTGGTGAAGCCCCTCTGTTATGCCACCCTGCTTTATAGCAAGCTAACTATGGACTTAGACCGCTATACACTGTATGTTACAATAAACTTTTCCTCCTTTAACACTGAGCCTTGAATATTTTGTCTCAGCAATGAGAAAAGTAACTAAGACACATTTCAACTAATTTGGGTATATATAGCTTATGCCGTTCTGCCCATTGGTGCAAGGATCCCTAGATTGGCTTCATAGGAGTTGGGGGTTTGGGGAGGTATTTTATTACTTTGTCTTCTCATGTTTCTATTGTTTTTGGTTGCTTTTTTGTTTTGTGTTGAAATTTGCATGCTTATAAAAATTTTGTTCTAGTATAGAGATCTCTTTAATTGATTTTCAGTGATGTCCTTTGTGTAGCTAACTATAATCCTTTGACATAGCCCCAGAGTCCTTCTGTCTTGATTAATTTGGGAGGGAAGAAGCAGTGTAGTTTGCTCAGGAACCAGGTTCTCTGGCAATTTACTTTAATACTGTTAATGTCACAAAAGTAATCTATGTGTTGACTTATAGAGAAATAGCAACAGTTATTCAAATTTCTTAATATCAAGCAGATCAACTTCAGTAGTATTGGCCAACACAAATAAGATATTAACATACCATAAGAACCAACTACGTCACCCTTAATCCTAGAGAAGAAATCAAGCATCATGGTGTAACCCACGTATTGAATTATAGATAATATGTACTAAATTTGAGGTCTATGTCTCTGCTGATGGAATAATCCAAAAGTAATTTTACAAAGTTAACTATAGAGTAACAAAGCTTTATGGTTATACTATTAAAGACATATTGTTTGGTAATGGGGGAATGTAAGAGGAACATTTGAAACCTTAAATCTTAAACTGTGATATAAGGAGGAGAGAGAAGTGGTACAAAGGATCTTATTAGAAGTGGTAGCAAGGATCTTAATAGAAGGATGTCTACAGAATTAGATAAAGGTAAGAGAAAAAAAAAGAAGTAGAAAATGGAAGAAAAGTAAAGGTACAAGATCCCAATGATGAATGTAACTGTACTGTATACTTAAAAAGTACCAATAAACTGAATGAAAAAAAGAAAGAAAATGAAAGAAAATATGTAGAGAGTAAAAAGAAACAGAGAAACATTAAAAAGGGAGAAGGGGAGGGCTGGGGATTTAGCTCAGTGGTTCTGCCACCTGCCTTGCAAGTGCAAGGACCTGAGTTTGATCCCTGGTACCAATAAATAAATAAATAAAAATTTTTTTAAAAGGGAGAAGGGGAAAAAATTGTAAGAAAAGAGATAAAGATCAAGGCAGAAGGACACTGAAAGATTTCTAAAACCCTAGGAAACTGGTGAAAAAGAAATGAAGGATAGGAGAGAGGGGAAAAAGAACTGAACTAAACTGAAAACAATGCACACACACAAAAATAATAAACCCAAAAAGTAACAAAAACAAAAGAGTAAAAAAAACCCTTACATATTAGAGAACATCAAGACAGTAAAAATACAATACAGTTAAAAAGAAGAATAATAAAGATAGGAAGGAAACGGAAGTTCTTCTGTGATTCTGAAACTGTGCTTTTCTTCTGGACTGTACAGGTTTGAGGCAGTGTCCATTTCAAGATGTGTCCCAGCTCAAGGTGGTAGATAAAGAAGGCAGTCAAATCCCACATCTATGCTGGATACAGTCATGAGAATGCCAATTCTGTGACTTTCAAATCCAGAGTGATTCAGGCTGAGCCTAGCCTCTGGCCTTGGGGATGGGGCTTTTTTTCCTTGAGTTTATCTTATCTGGGAGTATATCTTATCAAAGTGAGCACAGTTCTTGACCTTGACTGTCTTCCTTGGCTATCCCTCACTCAGCCACTGTGGGAGTGTGATGCTGGGAGGCCTGAAATCAAACATCCCTCTTCTGATCAGAGTCCTGGTTCAGTGGATCCCTCTTTGAGATGGTGTCCAACCACTCTATCCTGGGAATGTGGAAGGTACTTGGACTGGAGTCACTCACCAGCTTTTGGTGCAGATAGTATCCCCTGGTCCATTCAACTGCTATGTTTCTCCCTGAAGGCCTCTGGAGCTTTCACTTTATCTCTGTTGATGTGGTCTTTCTTTCTTGCAAAACAGGAGCACAGCAGAAAGTGTAGATTGCCCCTTCCTTTTTCCATGTTGTCTTCTGTCTCTTCACTTTCTCTGTAGGTTCCTGTTTTCCATAAGATAATTCTTGCTTGGGCCAGGGATTTGGCTCAGTGGTTCCGCTGCCTGCCTTGCGAGTGCAAGGGCCCGAGTTCAATCCCCAGTACCACACACACACACACACACACACACACACACACACACACACACACGAAGATAATTCATGCTTCTTGGGAATCTATCTCCTTTGCTTCCCCAAGTTGTTATTTTCCAGTGTCTGATGGATTTCGAATCTTGGAGAGGCTTATTGTTTTTTATCACCTAGCCATCTTCCCAGAAATTATATATCTTACAATTTTTGAAATTCATCCAAGCTTGGTATTGCACGAGAGTAATGCCAGCACTCAGGAGACTGAGGCAGGAGGATTCCTGTGAGTTTGAGGCCAGCCTGGGCAGCATAGGGAGTTCAAGTCCTTCCAGGACTACATAGCGAGACCCTGTTCCCCCCAAAAACAAAAAAAGGTATAACTATAAAATGCAGACTTACTCCACTCTTAAAATATTTGGTCATATGAAAATGTATAGTTATAAAAGGATCAATTATGAAAGGAGTCTTTATAGCACACTCATTCCTTATTTTATTTATTTTTTATTTATTTTTTCCCCATTCCTTATTTTAAAAATTATTCAATTTGTAAAAATTTACTAGATTTGTAATTTCTCAGTAAGACCTTTACTGCATTAAAATGCTTAAAATGTAACAGAATGCAGAGTTCTGAGAGAGTTCTTTGAGTAATTACTTTTGAATTTTGTGCTTTGAATTTTCTTATTAACTTACTCAGAGAACATGTTTTAGCTAGTCAGTGTAGATATTACATGGAGGATACTTTTAAGTACTATAATATTATCTTACATGTTTCTGTAATATACTTACTAATATCTATTCCCCCATCCCTCTTTCTTTTTTGTGATTTCTTTGTTTTTTAGGATCATCATGCCTAAAGTTCAGAGTATAAAAAACTCTCTTACACCTTCAACTTCTAGTTTAATAAGTGAATCTGATAAACAGCTGGATTTTTTGCCTGAGAAGCTAAGGGGAAAGCTGCTTCCATTCCAGAAAGAGGGCATCATTTTTGCTCTCAGAAGAGATGGCAGGTAAAGTACCTTTTTAAGACATGCTAAAAATGCTAAATTCTTGGCAAGGATATTTAAAAGCAAACTTTCATGTGTCCATAGTCTTTGTTTTGTTGTTGTTGTTGTTTTTTACTTTAGTCTTTCTTTAGCAGAATTTATTGTGGTTAGGGCTAGGGATGTAGCTCAGTGTTGCTGCACCTACCTGGAAAGCACAATCTGAGTTCAATCTCTGGTACTGAGGGGAAAAAAAAGAATTTATTGTGGTTGACTTAGCTTTGTGAATTTACTATGATTAACTTAACTTTATTTTTATTTATTTATTTATTTGGTACCGGGGATCAAACGCAGGTCCTTGTGCTTGTGAAGGGTGCCATCACTTAATATACGTGAAAGCAAAGACTACTGAATTTTTTTCTTGCTGAACACTGAGCTAAATCCCCGGCCCATGATTGGCTTAACTTTAGATGGAAATATATTGAACAACTTCTAAGTTCTTAAAGTGTGTTTGGTTACCTTAAGTATTCAAGTTAGTAGATATTGTCAGCATCTCATATATTGATAGTTTTCAGGAGGATCTTGGTCCCTTCCTAGAACTCATCTTTTACAGTTTTTTACTTATTCATTTCATTTTCCACCTTAGGTTAGGAACTCTGGACCTGTCTTGCTAGTACTTTATACTACTGCCTATATTTCTTTACTTCTTTCTGTCTTTGAGTCTGTGCATTGATATTATTTATTAATTTTGGAAAATTTTTAGTTACGACCTTTTCCTGTATTATTTTCTTCCTCTCGTGTTTATGTTTTTGGCCTCCAATGTCCTTTTCTCAGGGTCTTATGTACCTCTTAGCTTCTGTTTTGTTGTTCAGTTTATACTCAACTACAATTTACATATTGTGTTAGTTACTATTCTCTCATTGCTGAGACAAAATACCTGGCGCCAAAAGTTTGAAGGGAAAGGGTTTATTTGGCTTACAGTTCTTAGAAGTTCCAGTCCATAATCAGCTTGCCCAGAGGCTGGGATGTCAAACAAGCATCACAGAGGAGAAACAACATGCTCACACAAAGCAGCAAAGGTAACACGAGGGTTTAACAGTATCTTTCTGCCCTTTTTATTTTATTCAGACTTCTTAGGGCAGGTAGCACTCACACCCTTAATCCTAGTGCCCTTGAGCCTAACATTGCACCATGAATCAATTCCAGTTTCACACACTCTAGGTCAAGCCTATGACCACATGAGTCTTTGGGGTGACATATATACCCAGACCATAATACGTATATATGTATATTTTTTACTTATATTCTTGTTTAATAATGCTGTCTTTTTCTGATAATTTATTAAGGAAGAGGCCATCACTTAATATACGTGAAAGCAAAGACTACTGAATTTTTTTCTTGCTGAACAAGAGAGAATTGTATTGTTAGATATGGTTCTCTATACAAAACCAAGAGTTGCTATTGCATCAGGCTTTGGAGAAGTTTGTACACTTTCAGAACAGAAGTGTTTAAGGATTAGCTGAATTTCTGTGCATAATTATGGATTAGTTTACTAATATTAAAGAATAGAGGGACCAGGGATTTAGCTCAGTGGTTCCGCAACCTGCCTTGCAAGCACAATGACCCGAGTTCGATCCCTGGTACCAAAGGAAAAAAAAAAACGAATAGTCCTTTGTTGAAATTGGAGGTAGGGACGTTTTGTTTTCTGCTTCTAATTTTGGGGTTATATAATTTTTTGTTTTTGTATTGGGGTTCGAACTCAGGACCTTGTGCTCACGAGGCAGGTGGCAGAAATACTGAGCTAAATCCCGACCCTGGGTACTATATTTTAATCCAGGTCTTCTTGGTTATGTATCTTGTTTCTTGCCATGTTTTAAATTTTGTCCTTATTTCTATAAGTTTAAAATATTCTCTTCTTTATCTACTTTTGTTTTTTCTGGTACTAGGTATTAATGCATGCTAAATCAGTGCTGTATTTCTGACTGTTCTTATTTTTTTATTTTGATACTGGGTCTGACTAGGTTTTTTTGGGCTGGCTTTGAGCTTGTGATTTTCCTGCCTCACCCTCCAGTGTTATGATTAGAAACATATCCCAGTTCACCTGGCAGAATATCTTATATATTTGCAGTCTTTTGGGGGGAAGTGAGGGGGTTGGTACTGAGGAATGAACCTAGGGCCTCAACAGTGAACTACATTCCCAGCCCTTTCTATTTTTATTTTTTATTTTGAAAGAAAATGTTTGGGGTCTTGGTGGAGGAGGGCCTTCCGGGGTTCTTTCAGGCTGGAGGGTCCTGATGTGTCTTTAGATTTTTTTGTGGAAGCCCTGCACCCACCCTGAAAATTGAATTTGTTGTGGAACAGACTTAGGGCCAATGGTAGCAGGTGTTCTTAAAATGATGCTTCGAGGTGCTCTGGGGAAGTCCTTCAAGCTTATTGGCCACCCTATTCAGTAGGGCTGCATAGCACATTGTGCTTTTGAGTACATCGGTGGGGTTGTGATGTGTTCCTGGCCATCAATGGAGCCTACCGTTCAAAATTCAGATATTTTCTTTGCAGAAAATCTTAGCCGACATTTTCACGGTGTCCAAAGAGGTAGCATTGTGATTGCAAAAAGCTTGAGCAATTCAAAATCAAATATTTGTAAAAGAGTAATTGGTTTGGAGGGAGACAAAGTCCTCACCACTAGTACATTAGATTTCCTTTAAAGCAATAGTTATGTGCCCATGGATCATGTCTGGTTAGAAGGTGACAATCTACAGAACTCTACAGATTCCAGGTTCTCTGGCTCCATCCCGTATGGACTCATAAGAGGATGCATCTTCTTTAAGATCTGGCCTCTGAGTGACTTTGGATTTCTGCATGACAATCCCAGTAGCCACTGGCTTTCTGACAACTGACAAGCATTTATTCCTCTGACCTGATGAGTCTCCTGGTCCAGTGAATTTATGACACAGTGGAAACCATGTACTTACCTTACCAATAAACGATTTGCTATTTAAAAAAAGAAAGTATTGCTAAGTTGTCCAGACAGAATTGAACTTGCAATCATTCTGCCTCAGTCTTTTCCCAAAGCACTTGCCAATGTCTTAAATTTGGTTTTAATAATTAAGTAATAATATGTGTGATCCTTGAGAGACCTAAATAATAGGCAAATTCTCATAGGGAGGATTTGTAAAACTAGTTTTTTCTTGGTTTGGTATTTCCTAGGTCATAGAGATAATGTAAATTCAAGTCTGAAAATTATTTTGGGGAGGCCTGTGATTATAAATTGTGATCATTTATTTTTCATATCAAGGTTTAAGTTTTCTTAAAAATTAGGCATAACTTAATAAACTAGATAGGTTTTAGATATATACTTCAATGAGTTCTAATAGTTCATTTACTTTTGTGTTTTGAAAGATACAGAAAAAGACATATAACATTTTCATTATGTAGGCCTGATTTTTATCTCCAGAGTGTATTACTTATAGCTTCTTTGTGCTTGTTTTATTTATTTTTTTATTTTGGCATAATTTCAAACTTGTAGAAGTTTTAAGAAATATAAAATCACTATTCACTAATTTTTTATATTTCACCACATTTACTTAAACTATTTTTTTCTCTCCATATACAGTACATTCCAGAGCATATTGGTATTTATTTTCCCAGCGTGAAGATATATTGGATAAGTTATAATCCTTTATCCTACAATACTACAGCATAGTATGTATTTTTTTAAAAAACAGCTATAACTGTGTTGTGTGAAGTGAGATTGATGATTGATATTGATTGTTTCTTGGGTTATTAATTTGGTTAATGATTTTTTTTTTTTTTGGAGGTATGGTCTTGCCATGTCATCCAGACTGGCCTTGAACCATCTATGTACAAGCCCAGATGGCTAGAAACTTGAGATCTTCCTGCCTCCGCCTCCCTAGTGCTAAAATGCAGACATGTACCACCATGCCTGTTTCTAGTCAAAAGTTTTATCCAGTTTTGCTATTCTATAATTACTCTTTTTCTTTTTCATAATTGTGAACCATGAACTGTCAACATGAGATGTTGAGACTGCCAATATGCTGCTGCTTCTCCAACTTTTCCCTCTTGGATCAAACTAGTTTTTTTTGTGACAGTTATAAAATGATGATGTATTGATTTGCATTTTACTATAAAGAAGAGCTATCTCTTCTCTCCCCTTCCATTCTCTCTCCTCTCCTCTCTCTCTCCTCCTCTCCATCTATAAAAACTCCACCTATTTATCCATCCTCAGCATGGACTTACATATTCCTATTTTAGTCAATATTTTATAATCCCTTTGTATACCACATCTTGCTTTTATTTGTTTTGGATCTTGTACAAACAGAAAGAATTATGCAGTCTATATGGATGGATCTGACTTCTCTTGCTCAACACAGTGCTTTCATCCATGGTGTTTAATCTCTGAATGTATCATAGTTAATTTGTTCATTCATTTGGTGGTGGGTGTTTGGGCTGTGGCTGTAGTACTTTAATGCTCTGGGAAATAAAGATGATAATAATATTCTTGAACAAGTCTCTTTTTAAACATGTTTTTAATACTTTGGCTGCTTTATCAGGTAAGTGACTATTTACTTTTCCTTATAAAACTGCCCAATATTTTCTTAGTCAGTATACAATATATGAAAATTATGTATGCTTTACATCTTTCTTAACATTTGTAGTTATCAGCCTTTTATATTTTAGGCATTCAAAATGAACTAGCTTTCATGTACTCGCTCACTGTGTTTTAGTTTGTACTTTCCACATGGGTACTGAAATTGAGCATTTTTTCCGTGCTTACTGAACATGTTGCTTTATTATGTTTTTGTGCATATTTACTTATATGTGCAATATTATGTGTGTATATATTGTGAAGTGTGTATATATTTTGCCCATGTGTTTAGTGGTTTGTCTTTGTTATTGATAGGAATGAGTTCTTTTTATATTCTAGATATGACTTACCATATATATGTATATGTGTGTGTGTGTGTTTATAGATAGATAGATAGATAGATAGATAGATAGATAGATAT